GGCCGCCTGAGGTGTGCTCCGGCGCACGCGCTCGACCCCGATGAAGGTGGCGGCGGGGATTCGGCGGCTGCTCGACTCGTGCAGGGCCTCGGCACGCGGGGCGGCGGCCCCAGCAGGTGAGGGTGGGATGGCCCTGGCGGCGGGCCGCCCTGCCGGTGCGAGCTAGGCGCCCCCTCGGTCTCGTGGGGGACGAGGTGGCGGCGGTCGTCGGTCGCTGGTGTGCATCCCTCCCCGCAGGTATGCCACTGATGAAGCCCATCCCCTCCGCCCCGATCTGCTCCTTCCTTCACCGGATCTGGGTCCTAGTAGCTTAGGCCGCTGCTCCCGGTTGCTGGCTACGCGGATCTCGTCGGACGGGGTTGGATCCGGGGGAAACCCCTGGCCGGTGCAGCGGTCACACCAAAGGCGACGCCTTGGGCGTCGTTCCCCTCCTTGGAGGCTGTGGTGTGGATCCTCCCCCCTCCTTCCGTACCCTGCTAGGTGAAAGCCTAGGTCCCCTGCTTCGGGCGGCGACGGCACATCCGTGTCGTGTTCCTTCTTTGAGGCACCGTCCGGGGATTGTAGGGGCGGCGAGAGAGTTTGGTTGTGGATGTGATGGTGGCCGAAGACAGCTTGGTTTGGTTTCTGTTTCTTCATAGGCTGCTGGCTGGAGGGTCCCTGACGAGGTCGCCGGTGGGTCGATGCCCACGAGCCAGGGCAAGAGGGGATCAGTTCCCCTCTACGGCGACAACGATATACCATTTGGTGGGAGCATTGTGCTCTAGCGAATCCAGCGCTGGCCTTTGATCTACTTATCGCTGCTTCTCTTGCTTCTGCGACTGTGGCCGGCAGTTCTTGCCCTTTGGTGCGGCTGAGCCACAGACGACGATGGTGCTTGTAAGTAGTGTGCCCTAGGCTTGCGGTCCTGCTCTAGTTTCTTCTCCCTGCAGCTTGGAGGCCATCCATTTGGGTTCTGGGGTGAACCGAGCTGTCGTTTGCCGGTGCAGCATCCTTCGAGCCAGGATGAAGGGGTTGGGGCCCTTTGCAGAGACAGTAACGGATGATGGTCTGGTCCATGGCTGGCTCTGAGGGTGGCTGTGATCACGAAGCTTGCGCGGTGGTGCATTCCTCCCAAGACTCTAGTTTTGTTCTGTTGGTGTAGGTCATCCAGTAGGGTGTTGGTAGCAGCATGGTGATGCTTTGGCTCACTCTGCTGCTGCCGTGAGTTGTTTTGTTTGAGTTCTTTGTATCCGCCGCTCGGTTGTATTCTCTTTTTTTCGTTGTAAGCGTTTGACCTTGTAATCCTGGCCAGTTGATGGCTTTGTTAATTCAAAGTCGGGCTCTTTTTAAGCCTCCGTTCCAAAAAATTAGGCAGCAAGGGGCGCGGGCCCAATTGGAGAGTCACCTGAATCAACCATTACACAGCAACTAACCTGGATCGATCGGTGATGCTGAGCACATCCACTAGTATTTGTTGAACCTGTACTTTCTCGCCCGTTTCAGTAGCTAGATTAGCTTCTCTTTCAGTTAGCAAAATAAACCGCCATGTCAACGTGTGCATGTACACTGGATGTGGCCTGGTAGTTTCAGTTAGTAGGCAGCTAGCTTGGCGCGGCCGTTGGCAATGCATGGGATGGCATGCAGCGTAGCTCGCGGCACGCGTGCATCACCCGCAAGGCGAGCGTCATGGGATGGCACGACTGGTAAGCTCGCATGCGTGGTTGATCTCTCTCTCTCTCTCTCTTTGTAAGTTCAGTACAAATAAAAGGAATGAAAACGGGAAAAGCTGCAACAGTACGCAGCGCAAAGCCACCTGAGTTCATCGTTCTCCTCTCGCCATTGTTGCCGTGAGCTAGAGCTTGTAGGTCTTCCTGGTTCCAACAAGTGGCATCAGAGCCGCGTCGTTCCTTGGCGACAATGGCCGGTTCGACTTCTCCGGGAGGCATGGCGGCGGCCCGTGCAGCGGCTGGCAAGAGCGGCGACGACGGCGCACTCGCTGACCCCAGACCGCGGTCGCAGCCGTGGTCGAAGTCACACCCATAGGCACGGCAAGGAGATCGTCATGCACGAGCGCACGATCTAGGAGCGCCTCATCCCGGGCGGCACCACGGTGTGGCCGATGCTCACGCCGATGAACTACTTCAAGTGGTCTATGCTGATGCAAATCAACATGGAGCCCAACTTGATGTGGGACGCGGTTGATGGCAACCCGTGGAGTGTCCCCAATGGCAAGGCGGCGCTGGCGGCTATCCTGCGATCCGTAGCGCCGGAGATGGTGGGTGCGATCGTGGTGAAGAAGACGGCGAAGGAGGCGTGGGATACGATCAAGACCATGCACATGGGCGTGGTGCGCGTCTGCGAGGCCACGGCGCAACAACTGCGCTCCGAGTTTGAGGCGGTCGCGTTCCGCGACGGCGAGATGCTCGACGCGTTCGGCATGCGGATCACCTCGCTCGTCAACAACCTGCGCTCGCTCGGCGACACCGTGGATGAGGTGAGAGTGGTTCAGAAATTTCTCCGTGTCGTCACGCCTCGCTACATGCAGATCGCCCTCGCCATCGAGACGATGCTCGACCTCAACACGCTCTCAATTGAGGAGCTCGTCGGACGCCTACGCTCCGCGGAGGAGCGCTACGTCACCAACGATCAAGGTGGAGGTAGCGGGGCACAGCTGCTGATGACGGAGGCGCAGTGGCATGCGCGGAAGAACCAGCGCGCCCAAGGCCAGAACAGCGGCCAGGGCGGCAAACAAGGCGGGTCCGGCGAACAGGGCGGCAACCGCCGCCACGGCAAGCAGCAAAACCGTCGTGGCAACGGCCAGGGCGGTGGTGGGCGCGACAACACGAACGGAGAGCGCAACATGTCCCAGGTCAAGTGTTACAATTGTAACAAGCTTGGACACTTCTCCAAGCACTACACCGAGCCACAGCGCGAACGTAAGGAGCAGACGAACTTGGCGCGTGGCGAAGGAGAGGACACGGAGACGTCTCTCCTGCTAGCCACGGTGAGCGCACTCTCGACGACCACAGAGCGCCCGGTTGAGCGTGTTCTCCTTAATGAGGAGCGCTCCCAGGCACGCGCCGCTCCTGACGACGGCCGCTGCGATATGTCCTGGTACCTGGGCACCGGGGCGAGCAACCAAATGTCCGGGTGCCCGGAAATTTTCTCCGAGCTCGACGTCGGTGTGCGCGGCTCCGTGAGGCTCGGCGACGGCAACGACGTGCAGATCGAGGGCAGGGGCACTATCCTCTTCGAGTGCCGAAACGGTGAGCACCTGACCCTGTCGGAGGTGTACTTCATACCTCGTCTGCGCAGCAACATCATCAGCCTGGGTCAGATGGATGAGCTCGGGTGTGAGACCAACATCCGCCACGGGCTGCTGCGGCTTTGCGATCAAGAAGGCCGCCTCATCGCGCGCGTTCAGAGGAACGGTGAACGGCTGTATGTGCTGCACCTGACAGCGGGGCGCCCTATCTGCCTGCTATCACGCAGCGCGGACGAGGCGTGGCTGTGGCACGGTCGCTACGGCCACCTGAACTTCCGCGCGCTACGCGATCTGGACCGTTTGGGCATGGCGGACGGTGTCCTCGTCATCTACCGCGTCGACCAAGTCAGCGACGGATGCGCCCTGGGCAAGCAGCATCGGTTGCCGTTTCCCCAGGCCATGACGAACCGCGCAGAGCGCGCACTGGAGCTCGTCGACAGCGACCTCTGTGGCCCAATCAAGCTGGCCACAATGGGAGGTAACCGGTACTTTCTCCTGATCGTCGATGATTACTCATGATTCATGTGGCTTGAGGTGCTCCAATCGAAGGACGAAGCGTTTGATCGCTTCAAGAAAGTCAAGGCACGGGCAGAGGCCAAGTCGAACTGCAACCTTTTGGCGTTCCGCTCGGATCGGGGCGGCGAGTTCAACTCGATCGCCTTCCGCAAGTACTGCGACGACGGCGGCATTAAGCACTGCACCGCCGCGCCATACATGCCCCAACAGAACGGCGTGGTCGAGCGGCGCAATCAGACAGTGGTGGAGATGGCCCGCTGTTTGTTGAAGGTCATGGCGATGCCGGCGACGTTCTGGGGAGAGGCGGTGAAGACTGCGGTCTACCTCCTCAACCGTGCGCCGACGCGCAGCCTCGACGGGCTGACGCTGTATGAGGCCTGGCACAAGAGGAAGCCGGCGGTGCACCATCTTCGTATCTTTGGGTGCGTGGCACACGTGATGCATCGACAAGTTGGCTGACCGCTCCACGCCGGCGATCTTCGTCGGGTACGAGGAGGGCGCCAAGGTCTACACGTAAATCTCTCTCTCTCTCTCTCTCTCTCATCACGCATGTGTGCATGCACGATGGGTACACTGGTAAATCTTTTGCCTTAAATATCAGAATCAGATGTGAAGCTGCCAAATCTTAGACATTAAGCGTGAATGCACTGCCTAGCTAGCATTGTGCTAATGACAGTTACACCCAACAACATTCGCATCATCCATCAGTTCGTCCCTGGTGACGAAACAAAATCATGATCGGAACACTACGGGGGTGGGGTGAACATAATTCTATCAATTTAATTTACAGAGGCGAATACACAAAAATTTCTCAAGTCGTGCGAGGCTGAAACTGAATCCCAATAACCACCTCGCACCTTGGCACCCTTTGGATCTTGGAATGCTCTGCACTGTTTGCTTCTGCTGCTGCTGCATACGGCTGCATCCCACTGCGAGCCCTCAAGGAAAGGAAGGACATCCCACTGCGAGCCATCACTTACGTCGATATTCTGCAAACACGCAAGACAATTATATCAGGTGGAATGTGGCCCTTAGAAGGCAGCAACATTCTGGCGACAGACAGATTCGACTAGTTCAAAGATTACAATTTTACAATGTTTCAGTGCACAGCACTTTTGACTTTTGAGCATTACTACTAGGGAAACCGAAAAATGATAACAAAGTGTCAAGTACTGACCTTTCATAATATCAAGACAATTGCTTCGCTTCGCTTCTGTTCTGTTTGTTTGTTTGCTCTGAATCAGCTGTGAAATTCGGAACGATCTTGTTTTCAGGGCAGAGGCATGGACTGCACATCGGACTTTCAAAGAGATTCACCAGCTTCTCCACCTCTGGAAACATAGAGTGCAAAGAGAACAAGACTCAACCACCCTCTGTAATTACTCTGCCCTTTTCTTCCAAGCCTAACCTCCCTCTCCTTTACCTCTTTCTTTCATGTTAGGCTTGGTGGTGGCCTGCTGCACTTGCTGTGCTTCAACACACCACCTTCATGTAATATGACTACTGTCATCCGGGTTTTTACCCCGTTTTGAATGCATAAGGTAGATCATGATCTACCTTTTCCTTCAAAAAAAAAAATTCACTACTGTGACTGCAGAATCCAATAAGTAGAATAAATGAACTTGGGTCAGCCAGAGTGTGAACAAAGCAAGGTAACTTAAACACCAAATCTTTCATTACCTTTGTGCCAATGCCAATGAAACCTGTATGCATGCAATCTGCGTGCAAGATTGTAGCTGGGTACAATAGCTTTTTTTTTCTGCGAGTAGCTGGGTAAAATGGTTTCAGTACTCTGCCCCTGCATAAACTTGGTGGTTGACCAAATAATAATCCTCATTGCTTCGGCCCTACAGGAATAATTCAGTATCAGGCTAAATAGGGATTTTTCAAGAAAGAATCAAACAAATTGGAAAGCATTCTCTCTTCTCTTGTAGAGTGTAACTCAATTCAATTTCACTTCACGATAATAGTAGGAATCCATACCATTCTGTAAAGAAAATCAATGCACCACCAAGACAAGAAGACAGCACTCTCTTTACAAAGCCGCATCCTGCTAAATGAAAGGATTCAAGCAAGAGAAAACTAAGGCACTTGATTCATGGTAAGAAAAGAAAATATTTTTCAATAACAGTTTAGTACCTCCTCTTCGCCAACAGTTAAATTGGCCTGTTCAGTCCTGCTGCTTAATGCGAAAAAAGAATAGATTGATTGCAACACTGGTGGAGTGGAGTGGAACCTGCTAGTCTGTAAGATTTGACAACAGTGGTTAAGATGAGGCAGAAATATCTCTTCAGAAATAGAAAAACAAAATAGGGGGGCGACAAGTGTTACCTTGGGTGTAGTAGTCATCCGAGACGGATAAATCTGGGTTGGTTCTTTTGATTTTCTCAATTTGCTCCTCTATCTCAGCGCTGCGATGATTCATCACTAGTTTTGTCAAAGAAACTGGGAGGCCCTCGTTGGGCATCGATCGTATCTTTGGACAGTCAACGACACGTAACTCCTTGAGAGAAGAAAGGCGATGTAACCCTTGAGGAAGGGACTGCAGACACCAGCACCGGAAAAAAATTAGTTTCTCGAGGAAGGTGAGGAGCTGCAGCACTTTCTCTTGCTCTTTCGTGAAGCTTTCCATCCTCTCATCACACAAGAATTCAAGTGTGTGGAGGGCCGGGGCGAGGAGGTTGCAGATAGGAGCAACAAGCAATCCACAGATGTCATCCACCGTGAGTTTCTTCAATCCAGAGATGTAACCCGCAGGCAATAATTTGGCCCTCTGAGAGGCCACCTCTGAGAGCATATCTACTGCTAAGGTGTTGCACCCATGCACTTGCAGTTGTATGAGGTTGACTACGATGAGAGGATTGAATCCGTTCACTGTCAAATTATTGCACTTTAGTAGGCTTAGACTGGTGAGAGATGTGAGGTTTGAGAGCACAGCTATTGATTTCATGCTTGGCTCGTCCAAAACATAAAGTTTCTCCAGGGAAGCAGGGAACGGGTAAATGCTCTCTGATTCTCCCATGGGCCACCGACAGAAAAATTCGCGACATCTCAATATACTTAATGATTGGAGCAATGACTTGTCCTCCTGAATCCCTCCTCCATTCTCCACAGGCACAAGAACCACGCCCGTACAAAATTTGAAGGTAAGGTCCTGCAGTGAGCTGGATGATGGGAGCTGCATTACACATTTCTTATTGCCATCTATCTTCAACACAGTAAGAGCTGGGAAACAGTTTAACACTTTTGACGATGAAGATTTGCTACTGGTAAGATGAGATACATCTAATATGAGACTCTTAACTGAACGGAAGACAATACTGCCATCCAGCTCTTCAGGGAACAAGCCATCGCATCTTTCGACAGTTAATTCTGTTAGGGATTTAAGCTTTTCGATGTCTGTCAATGATATGCCCGATACATTTGCAATAGCCATATCTTCTACTTTATCCAGATTGTGGTAGGCCAAAGCACCGCCATACCCTCTAACAACCAATTTCTTTCCATCATAAGACAACAATGTTTCTGAATAACCTCTTTCACCTCTTTTAACATCCAAATTTTTCAGTGTTGAGGTGTGAGGCACGGAGGGCAGAGACATCTTGGGGCACCGAGAAACTTCAAGTCTGCGCAAATTGGTGCAAGATACCTCCGACAAGGGCATCACACAGAGATTGGGACAATCGATGCATATGATTTCTTCAATACTTGTAAAGGAATGGCAGTTAGGTTCCACGCCCCATTCAGCAAGTTCTGGCATCTCATAAAACTCAACTGTCTTCAAGCGCATAGAACATTTCCCTGGAGCGCCACCACATCGAAGCCCAAACTGATGCATTCCAGAAATTTTCTTCAATTTGAGTCGCTTGAGATTTGGTAGCTTCGCAAAAGGTGGGAGGGTGCTCCAACATACCCCTTCTAGAGTGAGTCTCTCTAAACTTGTTAACCAGATGTCAAGACATAACCAACTAGGACCAACGGCACCACCATGATTTGCAATTGTAAGTACTCTAAGATTACAGTGTGGTTGAAGAGCATCAAGAATATCAGCATTTGTAGTTGGTCCATCTCTGCCCCAGAGTAATTCCAACTCCTCCAGATTCTTTTTCAACTTCAGTTTGGCTGCAGTAGCTTCCGCCTTAGTTGCCACATGTTCAAGACCACGTATAATCAGTCCTCCTTCAAGATCTGCCAATGCCCCAAGTTCTGACAGTTCAAATCCCATGCTCTCCTTCTTGACATGGAATTCTTTTAGCCTCTGTAGATGCTTGATCTTTCCAACATTGCGAATTCTGGAGTGGAGTTCACTTTCAGCACGGAAATCATGTAAATTCTCGAGGTGGCTAAAGTCTTCAGGCAAATCAGAACGACCACGCCAATAACCTAGGTCCAAGAATTTCAAGTGATAAAATCTTGATAGTGTACTAGGTAACCTTATTTCCCTGTCAGTATCGAGAGATGAAGTAATTTTGAGGTACTGGAGGTGGATAAGTTTTGAAAACCTATATGGAAAAGATTGTGCAGACTTCACCACTATAAATAGGACACGCAGACTGTTTATTTCCTTGAAGCTATCTTTCAAAATCTTGGTGATTCTTTATTCTTTGTATCCTCTAAAAATCATCAAAGTCCGCAGATTAGCAATGTCTATCCTCTCCCTTAGTTTACACATTTCTTCCTCAAAATTTGCATCATATCTGTCTTCTATGTTGATAGATAAGTGTCGAACAGATTCTGGGATGACATCAGCTCTGAAATCTAAGTCACTTATATTGAGGCATTCTTGCGCAGAAGCAATCTTAGATAGCTCATGCATTAAATCATGCATTACATAGCAGTATACATCACTCCAATCATACCTTTTCTTCTTCATGAGAAAACCACTGTCTACTAGTTCTTCCAAGTAATTCCTGTCAGCTTGGTACCATCATCATAGCCACTGATGCTAATCTTTAAAGATTGCATGATACCATCATCATTTTCCTGCTTTAGCCACTGATGCTTTTCAAGAACTCCATTCCAATGTTTCAGAGAAAGGTCCTTGTGCAATAGCCTACCAACTGTTTTGGCTGCCAACGGAGAACCTTTTAGCTTGTTTGCAATTTTTCGTGCAATACCAGCAAACTCATCTTCATAATGCTCGGGCTTGTCGTCTGCACCAAATATGCATGCTTCAAAGAATGTGAAGAAATCATTAGGCTCCAAACCTCGCAGCTCCTGTGGATCAACTGTTTTCACCATGTCTGCTATCTTTGGGAATCGAGTAGTGACAAGTAGCATGCTTCCTTTGGTTTCCCCCTTTGTGAACGGAGCTAACAGGGTTTCCCACTGATCCACACCGTCACATTTCCATATATCATCCAAGACAATTAGAAACCTCTTGGACTTGAGACGATGTGCTATGGATTGCTGAAGCTGGTCTAAATTGGCTGTTTCATTTGCAACACTGCTGCTTCCTTCTTCTTCAGTTGCAGGTATGCAGCCAAGGATCTCCCTGGTGAGCTTAAGCACATCGAAATCAGTGGATACACATACCCAGACTGGGACATCAAAGTGCTTTTTAGTCCTTGCATCATTATACAGATGTTGGACGAAGGTTGTCTTTCCAATACCCCCGGACCAACTATAGGAAGAACAGAAACAGTCTTCGTGGCACTGGTGATACGATTGACAGTTTCCTCAAAAGTACCTCTCCTGCCATACAATATGTCTTGTACAATCATGGAAGCAGTGTGAGGCCGATCTTGGACGACTGCCACTGCCGTGCTGCTGCTTGGGATAGTACCGAGCAAATTGGAGACGGTATCACAGTGGGACTGCATGCTCTGTAACACAGACTTGATTTCTCTGGACATGAACACTCTGTCGAAATGCAGCGTATCACTACCATCATCAGCAGTAGAAGAGTTGGAGTTGGTGACGCCGGCAACAGCAGCAGGAGCAGCATCACCACCAACACCGGCAACAGCAGCAGCAGCATCACCACCATCCCTCTTGGTCTTGGGTGTAGGTGTGCAAGAAAAGCACTGTACCAAGCTGTCAAGGGTGTGGCGAAGAGCAGTACCGGCGTGGAGAGCTTGATGGCGGAGGCGGACAAGGCAGTCCAGATCCTCTTGGGTGGTGGTGGCGTGGCTGGTGCCGTGGAGCTTGTCATGTATCTGGAAGTAGTGGAGCTCATCCAGCAGGTCCTCTGCCTGGTCGGCGTCCTGGCTCAGCTTCTCCAGCAAGCCCTGCAGGCCAGGGTTGGGGTTGTGGCTCCCCTGGGCCTGGGCGTTGTGCAGCAGGCCTTGCGTCTGCAGCAGCTTGTCCTTGATCTGCTCCAAGTTGTGGCCGAGCTGGAGGCTGTCCACGTACGCGGCCACTAGGGTGTCGGACAGCGGTGTCAACAGCTTGCCGAGGAGCGAGGCCGCCGAGCCGAGAGCCACCTCCATCTCTCTATCTGCAGACACTCCGCCGGAGTAGTGGTGGAGAGGAAGCAGCAGAAAGCGCAGCTACTAGTGGCGAAGAGCGTTGGATGGCGTTGTGCGGGGAGCGGAGAGTGGTAGCAGGAGCGCTGGTGGGCGTGGCGATGGTAACGTGGGGTGACGGCTGAGAGCTGGTGGTCGGAGCTAGGCGATGATAACGTGGGGTGGCAGGAACGCAACACTGGGGGTAGGCAAAAATCTGCCGACTTGCACAAGTCTCCAAAGCTTTGGGTACAACAACGGAGGAGAATAAGATCCAAAAGAAAATCTGCATTCCATTATTAGCATTTGCAACTTGAAAGCACTGTAATGTATAACTAAAACTACTCACAGCTGAAACAGCACCAAATTAAAGTAAATATTTCTCCATGGGAGCACTTGATAGATTTTTCTTTCTTTTGAACCAAACAACGAGGTTCATCCTCATCTTCCAGCCGCAAACCATCATGTGCACGCCAGATTGACCCGACCCGCATGCGGGTTGCGCTCTATTCCCCGCTGGCGTGACCAAGTCACCATCGCCCACCGGATTTTGGCCGCCGCTGGCCAAGATCCAAGCTCGCCGCAAATTTGGGGACTTTTATCTGGTCAAGGGTTTGGGTTGTAAGAGAGCAATGAGAACATAATGGATATAAACTTTCAGGTTTTTTAGGGCAACCCCAGGTGGTAACATGAAAGGTGCTTCAACAACAATGCCTCTAGAAAGGGGACGGCAAATAAACACCGTTGCTTCTGGCGTTATGCACTTCTGGCTGACTCCAGTCACGCTTTCTCTGAATAATTGTCCCTTGATCACAGTAAAGGCCTTGGATCGACGGACGATCTGTCTAGCCTCTTCTTCATTCTCCGGGGGCTCTTTCCTCAGGATGTATGCGATGTACGGTACTGTCCAGTCGGGAGAGATGACCACGACTTCCATGACCAGGTCGACCATCGCTAGGACCTCAACTTCAGTCGGATCAGTGGCACTTTTTGGCTGTGGAACTTCTTCGGTGAAAGGATCCTCCTGAATCGACGGTGTGCGGATGTGCTCCAAAAACACATCACTGGGAATGGCTTCCCTCTTGGACCCTATTTTCGCCAAATCATCAGCAGCTTGATTTTTCAGTCGGGGTATGTGATGGAGCTCTAACCCCTCAAACTTCTTTTCCAGTTTCCTCACTGCATTACAGTAGCCAGTCATGGCTGGACTTCTGACGTCCCACTCCTTCATCACCTGATTAACCACCAGGTCTGAGTCGCCATAGACCATGAGGCCACGGACGCCGAGTGAAATGGCCATACGCAACCCATACAAAAATGCTTCGTATTCTGCTTCATTGTTGAAAGAATCAAAGTGAATCTGGAGCACATATCTGAACTTATCTCCTCGGGGGGAAACCAATACTACCCCAGCACCGGAACCATTCAGCATCTTGGAACCATCAAAGAACATAGTCCAGTGCTCCGAGTGAACTTGAGTCGGTAACTGTTGTTCAATCCACTCGGTGATGAAATTTGCTATTGCTTGGGACTTGATGGCTTTCTTTGCCTCAAACTTGATATCAAGGGGAAGAAGTTCAATCGCACATTTCGCCACTCGACCAGTTGCATCTCTGTTGTGCAGAATCTCTGATAACGGGGCGTCGCTGACGATTGTAATGGAATGATCAGAGAAGTAGTGAGCAACCTTCTTTGCGGTCATATAAATCCCATACACAAGCTTCTGATAATGAGGGTATCTTTGCTTCGACGGGGTTAACACTTCAGAAAGATAATATACTGGGCGTTGAACTTTGAAGGCTTTTCCTTCCTCTTCCCGCTCGATCGTAAGTACTGTACTGACGACTTGTCCTGTGGCTGCAATGTAAAGCAGCAACGGCTCTTTGCTGATTGGGGCAGCAAGCACCAGTTGGGTGGAGAGCAGAGCTTTGAGCTCAGCAAACGCTGCATCAGCTTCAGGAGTCCACTCGAACTTGTCTGACTTCTTCATCAGTCGGTAAAGAGGCAATGCCTTTTCACCGAGGCGAGAGATGAATCGACTAAAAGCAGCCAAGCATCTAGTAAGCTTCTGGACATCGTGCACACGCACAGGGCGTTTCATTCGGAGAATAGTGCCAACTTTTTTTGAGTTAGCGTCGATTCCTCGTTCAGAAACGAGAAAACCGAGTAACTTTCCACCAGGAACTCCGAATGTGCACTTTGATGGATTAAGCTTGATATCATACCTCCTGAGATTGGCAAATGTTTCAGCAAGGTCAGTCAACAGGTCGGAACCTTTCTGTGACTTGACCACAATGTCATCCATGTATGCTTTCACATTCCGACTGATTTGAGTGAGTAAACACTTCTGAATCATCCTCATGAACGTGGCTCCGGCATTCTTGAGGCCGAATGGCATGGTGACATAACAGAAGCACCCGAATGGAGTGATGAAAGCTGTTTTGATCTCGTCGGGTCCATACAGACGGATCTGATGGTACCCGGAATATGCGTCCAAAAAAGACAACCGCTCACATCCCGCAGTCGAGTCGACTATTTGGTCGATGCGGGGGAGAGGAAAATGATCTTTCGGGCAGGCCCGATTGATATGTTTGAAGTCGATGCACATGCGCAGTGAATTGTCCTTCCTAGGGACCATGACCACATTGGCGAGCCACTCGGAGTGGTAAATTTCTCGGATAAACTCTGCTGCTAAGAGCCGAGCCACCTCCTCGCCAATGGCCTTTCTCTTCTGGACGGCGGACCGTCGAAGATGTTCTTTGACAGGTTTGACTTTTGA